CCGGGTGGAGCCAGCGCCCCCCACAGGGGAAGGACCCCCCCTTACCAGCCCCGTGAGGCAGCAGTTGAGGCCCAGCTCCCGTGACATGCTCCGGTTCGCGTGATCCTCAATTTGTGCCTCGTCGGCGAATTTCACCGCGTGGCTGAACCAGGTGAATTCAAGCTCCAGGCAGGGGGTCTCCTGGTGGGGGGAGGTGGGGAGTGAAAAGGGGGTCAGAACCCTAGGCACCCCCAACCCCATCTAAAGGGGACTCCCGGCCCCCAGCAAAGCACCACAAAAACCATGTGCTCAGACCCTTCCAATTTATGTAGGCCCTACAATAACACGCAAGAGGGCCATGTGGATCTATTACTGTAGCACTTATTACATAGCTTTATGTAATAGATCATGCCGGCCCTGTGTATTTACGTAGGCCCTACCTTAATAGCCAGATCATGCCGGCCCTGTGTATTTACGTAGGCCCTACCTTAATAGCCAGATCATGCCGGCTCTGTGTATTTACGTAGGCCCTACTGTGATGTCTGGGAGACCGCAACACTGAGGCGAGTTTACGGTTTCACAGCAGATGTTTCTAAGCACTTAGGTTGATCTTTTTGGCCTGGTGCATTTTGAGTAGGCCCTACCCTAACAGCCAGCTGCCACCTCCAGGCGGGAGGGAGGGGGGGGGGAGAAGTCGGCTGCAATACCATGAGAGGGGCTTATGGCTGCCGAGAGGCGAGGAGGGGGTTCATAGCCAGATACCGCACTGGGGTACGGGATGGGACAGAGAGGGGACCCAGGGCTGGGGTAGCAGGGGCTGCAGGTTGGGAGTGAGGGGCACCGGCAGAGCTGGGGGGGGGGCAGGAAAACACTCACCTTGTTGGGGTTCGAGCCCCCCACACCAATGGGGTTCAGTAAGTCCTCCAGGCCGTGGGGCACTGGCCACAGGTTGAGCGCCATCTTCCCAGCCACCAAGGTATCTTTGTAATCAAAGAGATTGACGTTCCCCCACGCCAGGGGGCAGTGCTCCTGCCGGGGGGGGACGGGACGACAGAGACCATGGGGGGGGGAATCACAGCCAGCCTGCCCCCCATTCCCCGCTCCCTGGAGCCAGCCAGTCCCCGCCCTGGGGTCAGGTGGGAGCCGGCGCCCCCCAGAGGGGACAGGCCCCTGCCCCATTCCCCGCCCCCCTGAACCAGCCAGTCCCTGCCCTGGGGCCGGGTGGGAGCCGGCGCCCCCCAGAGGGGACAGGCCCCTGCCCCATTCCCCGCCCCCCTGAACCAGCCAGTCCCTGCCCTGGGGCCGGGTGGGAGCCGGTGCCCCCCAGAGGGGACAGGCCCCTGCCCCATTCCCCGCCCCCCTGAGACAGCCCGGCCCTGG